GTTTTACACTGCTACAGACTTTGTCAAGTTTTTTGACGTATGAATCAGTTCTACCAATGAACCAAAGAAGCAAATAAATTTCAAAAATGTCACCTTTCCACTCATAATTGTAGTGATACAACAGCTGTACCGTTCCGACATATTATATAAATATTAGTTTTTGTAAGTAACAAATCAGTAAAAACAATGCAAAACTAGCACGACGCCACACAATTATTTACATATCCCAATAACATAACCTCATTACTGATCCGAGGCTGGAAATCTGTTGGGTTGGTACTTCTGAACTTCACGAAGAAATTAACGAAAATTAGAACGTGCTCTAATTCGTCAAGAACTTGATGAATAAATTCCTGAAGTTATTTGACAGCAGATTTGGTGCATTACACTTGTCCAATTTCTTGATGAAGCGACTTCATGAATTAATTGATCAATAAATTGTCAATGTAAAACAGCTATTAAGGAACCACAAATGCTAGAACTACGATATTATTGTAGCAGAGATAATAAGAAGCTACCAATGTTTAGTGAATGTAAAAATTAATTTTTTGGATTTCCATGTGAATGATTTTCCTGGAACTTTAGAGGATAGCGAGGAGCATAGTGAACGTTTTTATCAAGATCTGCATGACATTGAAATAAGATACCAGGGCAGATGGGATGTTACTATGATGTTGGACTTCTGGTGGTTACAGAAAATAGAAAATGAAGACAGCGGTTCAAAAAGAGTCCAAATTCCGCTGAGCAGTTCATTCAAGGACAAAAAATTACGTTACAAATATAAGGAGTTTAAGCATTGTAATAGATACTGTGGATGAAGAAGAGACAACGGAAAATCTTGCTTTATTGTCGTATATTCATGTGAGAGGTCACAGATATGCCAAGTACCTAATAATTGAATTATCAAAACGTTGTTCTAGAGCGTGAAAAATTTTTAAAAATTACAGAAAAAAATTATGTCAAAAGTTTTAAAAAACACTTAATGGAAACATCGACAACCAAAATGTTTTGTAAAATTTTTGTAAAACTGTGTTAATAATTTTTTATCCGAAATACTAAAACGAATTCATTAATTTCCATTAATTCGTTTTATTTATTTATTTATTATAAATGCGAAAAAGAATCTAATTTCACTTTTATAAGAATACTTTACATTTTTCCTGCAAAATTAATATTTTATTTATTTTAAAAAAAGAATGCAATACAACTTAAAAAATTACACCTAATCATAACAGGACATTCGCAATTTTGGGGAAATCATAATTTCCAAATTCGCGTACCTACCTATTTTAATTCGAAGTTTGATTTTACGTCAAAGTTTTATAAAATTCATACATACACTGCGAATATTTACATTAGAAATGGTTAGAAAAACATGTGTAAAATCAATTGTAAACGCAAAAAGTATCTCTCAATTTCAAAGGTTTACATAACAAAGATAACTAGACAAAAAAGTGTAAACCATTAAGAAAATTTGTGAAATGTGTAAACTTCGAATACTTGGAAAATAATATAAATATAATTCTGTCTTATATGTAAATGCAAGAACTATGTGAACCCATAGCAATGGCATCTTTTTTTTGTTATTGAAAATTTTGATTAGTTCCAATGTTTATTGAAGTAAAAATTAATAAACAACTAAAACAAAAATTAAAAAATGATATGTCTATAATATTATTAATACAGTAGCACAAGTCTACCAGGCACATTGAAATTGTTATAAAAGGTTATTTTCAAAGAAACGTAAAACTAGCTAAGATAGAAAGAACTTACTATTTCCGAATTTTTCTTAGGACTGCTTTTTTCAAGTGGTCTCGTACAACATTGTTTGATTTCATTTGTCATGATTTTTTTAAAAACATTTTTGAATTCATTTGAACTGGTTAAAAACCTTTTAGGGCGTATTATGTGTAATTTATACCAGTTTTTTCTCGAAAGTTTTAGAAAATCTAAGCAAATTAAATACAACATCTCTTTACTGTACCAGTTATAAGCAAGTTTTCTCCAGAGAGTAAGAAAAGTTTTAGAATTAAATTCACCATAAAATAAAGAAATAATTATATAATATTTTAAAAAAGATATGTTTTTATTTTATCTGTTTTAAATTTTTCCGTTTCTTTATACATAGGTATCCAAATATATTTAAGTACTAAAATAAAATTATAACATTGCACTTGAATGTCATAATTCTATATGAGAATAATGCGTGTACCAACTGCTATATGCAAACAACTAAAAAATAATAATAATTAGCTGTATTTGCATTTTAAATTAAATTCAACATAAATATACAGGGTGTCCGCAAATTTCACGGAACGTTTGACTGCATATTCACAACGATAAATAAATATGATCTACGAAGAAAAAGTTAAATAAAAAATTTTTGGTTTTTGAGTTACAGGCCTTCAAAGTTGTCAAAAATGAAACTAATTTAATTAATAATTTCATAACTTTTTTACCGATCTAGTTAAAATTTGGCACATTTAGTTGGACTATTATGGCGTATTATTTCTTAAAGCTTTAGTCAAATCGATATACTGGGTGGTTACCACTCCCTTTTAGCGGTCAAAACTTTTACAGTGGTCGTATTTTTTTAAAACGGGCAGCAGCACTGAAAAGAAAATCGCCTACAGAAAGCCATTCTTATGACTATAGATGCTAAATATTATGTACAATAACATATTAGTATCCACAGTCATAAAAATAGGGGGAATATTGTTTACAGGGTGGTTAATTGTATAATTTTTACGTAAATTCACGTTTTTCGCTTATAAATTTTTTCCGTTCATTTCCACGAGAAAATAGTAAGGTCCTTTTTTTTCGTCTTCAAAAGACCTACAAAACTAGCCCTCGAGTGTCAAAAAATATTCCTTATCACTGTCTAATAACTCACACGAAATCTGGAATCGGTAAATTGAAAGTTTACAAGTTATGGCCTTATGCACAAATGAACTAATTATTAGTCTGGACGATCCCGAGGATCTTCCACAATCGCACCGATTTTTTTCTTGGTAGATTTCATAATAATACATTGAAATCTATCATTTTTTTTCAATTTCAAATTTGCAACCTGGAGTTTTTTTATTTTTCAGCCAAAGTTGCAAAATGAAACATACGACGCACGCGCGTGAAATAATTATATATTATTACATATTCGGAAAGCTTATGAAAAGAGCTTTAAGTTAAAAAGAAATCGTCAAGATTCGTTGAAAGACAACGGAGTTACAGACTGTCAAATATATTATTTTCAAGCGAATTGCAGGACTATGAATATTATGTTAATTTTCTTCGGACTCGATGTCGTTCGCTTCCCTCACCCTTCCGCCGCGCCACGGCTCGCCGAAAATCAAGCGACCCATTGACTTTTGACAATATTTCTTATGCACTTAACATACTTCCACAAATAAAATATTTTTATCTGGGAAAGTACTCGGGTTGCCGGTTGTGTGTTTTTTTTGCCGCTACCAACCTAATTTGTTTAACAATAAGCCGTCAACTTTGACAGTCTGTAACTCCGTTGTTTTTCAACGAATCTTGACGATTTTTTTTTAACTTAAAGCTCCTTTCATGAGCTTTCCGAATATGTAATAACATATAACTATATCACGCTCGTGCGTCGTATATTTAATTTTCAAACTAAGGCTAAAATTTAAAATAAAATTATTGATTTCAATGTATTATTATGAAATCGACCATGAAAAAAATCAGTGCGATTGTGGAATATCCTCGGGATCGTCCAGACTAATAATTAGTTAATTTGTTTATAAGGGCATAGCTTGTAAACTATTCAACTTACCGATTCCAGATTTCGTGCGAGTTATTAGACAGTTATAAGGAATGAGAGGATGCGATGCCAAAACGTTATAATAATAACGCAGTTTATAAAAATGTTTAATTCAAAAGTCATAAATAAACTTCTTCTGCTTATAACTTTTGATCTAATCAATATTTTTTATGCACGAGGGCTAGTTTTGCAGGTCTTTTGAAGAAGAAAAAAAAAGTACTTTACTGTTCTCTCGTGGTACTGAACGGAGAAAAGTTATAAGCGAAAAACGTGAATTTACGTAAAAATTATACAATTAACCACCCTGTAAACAATCTTCCCCCTATTTTTATGACTGTGGAAACCAATATGTTATTGTACATAATATTTAGCATCTATAGAGATAAATTCAGGTTGCCGAAACAAAAAGTCGCGAAATGGTAATTTCCCAGCTTATTTTCCTGGCCTAAGCAATCAACTTATTGTTTTCATCGCCTACAGAACTCAAAGTTTTAAATCCGTGGCACTGCTACGCAAACAGAAACGCACAGACCTGCAAATTACGCCATTTTTCTCAAGAATGGCTTTCTTTAGGCGATTTTCTCAAGACAATTTTTTTTTAATAAGTCGACCTTTTCAATGCTGCTGCCCGTTTTAAAAAAATACCACCATTGTAAAAGTTTTGACCGCTAAAAGGGAGAGGTAACCGGAGAAAACTATCACCCAGTATATCGATTTGACTAAAACTTTAAGAAATAATACGCCATAATAGTCCAAATAAATGTGCCAAATTTTAACGCGATCTGTAAAAGGATTATGAAGTTATTAATTAAATTAGTTTTATTTTTGACAACTTTGAAGGCCTGTAACTCAAAACACAAAAGTTTTTTTCCGTAGATTTTAAAATACTATTTATTTTAATAAAATTGACTTTTTATTGCAGACCGCTGATTGTAATTTTTCATAGCATCCTCCTTTATTAAAATTGACACTTCTTCAAACTTTCAAAAGACGCATATGCATAAAAACCAGCTTATCAATCAAAATTTAAACCGGTTCCACTTCTCTTCCGCAGAAGTAACAAATTGCTTGTAGGAAACGGATGAAACAAGTCCGAAACCGCCGGCTATCGCCGCAAATGACGTCCCAGCCAACGCCACAATGACGATCTTAAGGCCAAATTCACGCGATTGTTCGCTCAACCGTCGTTCCCGAGCTCTTCCGCAAAAAAACCTACCTTCGCAATCACCATCCGAGCCTCGCCTTTTGTGACCCAATCTCAAAAGGCTGCTAACCGAAAACTGTCTGGAATTGTTGCTACAATGGGCTCTGGCATTGTAATCTTGGTTGGCACCGCCGAAATCCGACATGTGTCCATCAAGCGCGTACATTCTCCACCGGCACCGGAGACAAGCGAACGCGAAAAAGTCGACGGACGGCCCTCGATCGCCTACTTAGACTCGCATGGTAGCGGCGGCGTCCCGACGTCGCGCGGCGGTCGGTATCAATTAGAAAGGTGGGTTAATTCGAGGCACTCCGAATCGAAATTAATGTTTTGTTTATCGGTTTCGGCTAATTCGATTAGGCCGCGGCGGTACGAGCACTGAAAACTGGCGGAGATTTCAGCAAAGACCTGAAATATCCGAGGCGGCTCAGCGCGGTGCCCCCTCCACCCGGGACGGCTTAATTTGTGGCTTAAAAGAGGGCGGGTTCGATTCGAGACGGGACAGAGAACGGGAAATATGCGGATGAGGTGTGGAAATGTGTCGGTTTCGAAAAATGGCAGAAAATCCAACTGGTAGGTGCGTCCGCGTGATCCTTTGGCCGCCATCGTGCGCCTGTAAGGTGCCTCGGGAAAGGGATATTTCGTGGGAAATTCGCGGCGTCTTTCTCGTGTAATATTTGCAGCAGTCCGGCTTTTAATCGGATTGTTGACTGCCGGGTCTGATGGGTACTGACGCTGAGGCCAAAAAAATTAAAACAATCAGCTATAAAAACTATAACCGTTGCTGTAATTGCTAGTGACGGCAGCCTGGCAGTCCTTGTTCTCACCTATAAATTTATTTTACAAAAAATATAAACTTACAGCGTGAGCTACATACAGGGTGGGCCATTAGTGTGAGAAAGTAAAATAACTCCCTTGTTACTCATAATACAGAAAAAAAGTTTATATAAAAGTTGTACAGAATCAAGAAATCTAAACTACAAAATTAATTTGAAACATACAGGGCGATGAGTAAAAACGGGACACGCCAAATATTACATTTTTTAAATGTAACAGCCTGTATATTTTTAAACATGTGGATTTCCGAGAAAATTCTGTATATGGCAATATAAACAGTTTATCATTTTAGTGCGGGGTTGCCAAGTTATGTAGAAAATTCTTCGATTTTGGAAAAAACATGACCTCGAAGAAGTTATATTAACTTTCAGCTACTAACACTTGGAACAAAATAATTAGACACGGTTATAGGCAAATGCTAGACAAAGGCTCCCATATTAGCTAATATCGATATTTTATAAAGGGCATTTTTTATAGTATGATCATTTTTAGAAAGTTTATAAACTTGATTTTCTAAAATTTTTCAAATGGAACACCCTGTATTTTATTATTCTATTTTATTCACATATCGGTCCACTTCAACTTTTATTAAGCGTGTTCTATACCTAAAATTGTTAGTTTTTAAGATACAGCAACATTTCTGAAAAAACTTAATTTTTATTATTTTATAGAATACCACAAATAAATGTTAAATAATAAAATTAACTCAAAATGGAATGATAAATTATGAACTGACAAGTTGACACAATGTGACGATTTTTTCCAAAGCCATTTCGTACGACCCAAAATAATAAAAAATAGTTTTTTCCAGAAATGTTGCTATATCTTAAAAACTAACAACTTTAGGTGTAGAATATACTTAATAAAAGTTGAAGTGGACTGATATGTGATTAAAATAGAACATTAAAATACAGGGTGTTCCATTTGAAATATTTTAGAAAATCAAATTTGAACTTTTTAAAAATTATTTAAATTATAAAAATGCCCTGTGTAAAATATCGATATTAGCTAATGTAGGAGTCTTTGCCTAACACTTGTCTATAACTCTGTCAAATATTTTTGCTGCAAGTGTTAGTAGTTCAAAATTAATACAACTTCGAAGTCATGTTTTTTCCAAAATTCGAAGAATTTTCTACATAACCTCGCAACCCCGCATTAAAATGTTAAACTGTTTATATTGCCATATATAGAATTTTCTCAGAAATCCATATGTTTAAAAATATACAGGCTGTTAAAGAATGTAATATTTGGTGTGTCCTGTTTTTACTAATCGCCCTGTATGTTTCAAATTAATTTTGTTCTTTAGATTTTTAGATTCTGTACAACTTTTATATAAACTTTTCTTCTGTATTATGATTAACAAGGGAGTTATTTTACTTTCTCACACTAATGGCCCACCCTGTATATACAGTGTGTTTAGTTTTTCGTGTTTTATATAGAAGTAGGTCAGCCGAAACAAGTGGGACTATTTTATTATTGCTAGGGCCCTGAAAGGGCGTCATTAACTATTATTTTCCTAAATTAAAAAAAAAACACGTTTATTTTAAATACATATACAAAATCAAAGTAATCTATGGCAATATAAAGAAAACCAATATAGTTGCCAAATTATGATCTTTTAAGACTATATCTATAAAAAAAACGTGCAGTATAAAAAGAAATGGAATTCTTATACGTTTCGTTAAATCAATCCTAATAAAACACTTATTTGGAAACTATAACTTCTTGAAAATTGCAAAAAATCCTTAGACTGCTATTTTTTAAGTACAGATTTTGTCAACCGATTTTTTAATACGAAATCTAATAACATGACCTTATTCTACACCCGTTTCTTATTGTCTGCAACCGAACCTCTTCGAATTTGGCAACTGATTTGCTCAGTTTTTTCATTCGGGGTGTTCCTTCTACCGAAAAATTCCACGAAATTTGCACAGTCTCAGCTACACACTCTCCGTAAATACTCGTAATGAATTTTCACAATCTTCAACCGCCCATCCGCCGTATAGCGCTCAATTTTATTTATCCGCAATGTTTTAACTACAAGTGCAATGCTTCCAGCTCTTCGCAATGACAATGGCGTACAATTCAAATCCTGCGGTACTACTGGGACACACTTTATTTGAAATTTTGTACCATGTTAATGGTCTGTGTATTTAGAAATCAGGACATCCTGTATATATTCTTGTAATTACCTTAAAGGCAGTAAGCAAATGATGTCTATAAAGGCTGTTTACAAACTTGAAGATGATTTTTGAAGAGTACATAAATCGATGGACAGAATATATATTTTTTAATACTTATTGACTTACCACAATAATAAGGAGAAACATTTTAGGAGCCACTGACTTCATCGATAGCCCGGCTGACTCTATTTCCAATTTACAAGTGTACAAATCGCTGTACCCAAAATTGTGCAGTCATCTCACAATTTCCATCAGCGTTTTCATACATTACCACATTGCTCTTTAATTAATTTTTTACTGTATCGACGGGCCATCTTTTGGGACGTCTTTCTACAAAAAGAAAACATAGTTAAAACTAAAAATCCAGAAATATAATGTAATTTAAACAATAAACAATTCACATTGACGTAAAATGAAGCTAATGATAACCTAAAATCGAACTAGTGACTAATTGCTTATTACAAAAAAACGGGACAAAAAGCAGACGGCTAGCTATCTATAGCCACAACTATTGACCACTTTTTTATGTAGGAGACTATTACGATTCCATAGGTCCCCAATAAATTTCAACGATTTCGATTATTGTTAATTTTTGTTTGGTTTTGTGGTTTCTATTTCTACTACAAAATAACTTTTTTGTCGCCTGTATTCGAATGAATTTATAGCCAGTATCAAAGAAGTTTTGATTCTTGTAAATCAAAGCTCTCTGCGTTTCATACACTGAAATTTAAAAATATGAAAATTTGCTCATAAATATTGTCTCGCTTCAGACATACAGAGTGTTGGAAAGCCAGCATCATGATGTACTGTGAAAAAAAATAGGTTTTTACAATTTTGTGATATTTATGGGAGTGTCACATGATTTTCATATAACATTTTTTTTACTATGTATAATACAGAACTAATCTATTTTACTATGGAATTTTGAAAAAATCAATATGAATATGAAAATATAGTGAATCGAAATTAATATATAAAGCAGTAATAACGGTGTTGATGATGTTAAATTAAAATCAAAATAGTAAAATTAAATAAATAAGTATAACAATCGAGAAAAAATAATAAAAAAGCAATATGAAATTTTCGTTGATTGGCAATAGGCAAAAAAAGTTGAAAAAATGTTGTAAAGTAAAAAAGCAAATGTCTTTACTGACAAAAACAAAGGCACTAAAAAATTATTTTAGTAGTTAATTAAAATACTATACCCTGGATACTACCAGACATTTAAAAAATTGATTTGGCAAATTTTTAAAATTGTATGTCCATTTCATTACAAATCCTTATCAGGGGTATCTGTAACCAATCGAAGAAGCAAATGTTTAATTATGACTTAAAGACTGACAACAACGATACACATTTAAAATTAATTAAGACAATAGTTTCAATCAAGTCGTAGGAATGCATAGCGTTGCCAAAATACCAAGCAAGCTCTTTAATTAATTATAATTACCTCGTTTTCGTAATTAATGAACTAGAACAGTGCGATAAATGCTATAAAATGCGGAGAAGCTCCAATGTTTACGAAAAGTCCAAGCACTAAACAAAATCACTAATATAAAAATTTGTACTATATTTTCAATCCTCTAACGAGCCTAAATTTCATTCGAAATACGACTTACATTTCTCACAAACAGAGAACCTTGGGGTACTACAAAAGGTGGTTAGTATAATCTGATACGAAATAAGATAGATCCGAAAAATCTTTATTTTTTATTTTTTCTTAGCTTTTGCACAATGATTTTTCTCTGGCAAGTCTAGGTACAATTCAATTAAGTTTTGTGTTGATTTTTCCTTCGCTTTTTAAGAGCAAAATTTATTTTGGTGTTATCTGTTTCTATATAGTCACTCTAATTGACGATGCTGGATGCAGAGATTTATTTAATATGTTTATAATCGAAATAAGGTGGCATCCAACAACAAAAGAGGAAAAACTGCCCAATACCAACAGTTAGAAATCATTATTTGACCAGATAAAAATTTTTAAATACACAAATCATTAATTACTTCAAAGTGTGACAAATGTTTTAAGTCCCTTCTCTTTCCAGTAGGTTTTATCTTTTCACAAAAAGTATCTTTTCCCTTTGCTACTAAAATATAAATAAACACTACTTTATACTTGTTGAAATGCCCCTTTTTCTCATACTTGCGTTTGCATTAATTAAACGTGCTGCTAAAACTGTTTACATCGGACTGCATGTCGTGCGCACCATCTGGACGTGAGCTATGAAGACGCTGAAAACCTTAGCACCCTTCCCTTTAATAATTCGCAGGAGTTATGGCTCTCCTAATTGGAGATAATCGTGTTGATACGTGTTGACGTCCTTAGTTGTTTCCGTATGGGTGTTTAGCTAATACCGCCATTTATTTAGGTCTCGAGGCCGTGTCG